AGAAACAAAAAAGCAATTGTACTAAAAAATAGATTTAAATCACAGTTAAAATAATAAAGTGTATGAATAAAAGTGAGCTACAAATGGTTGAGACATTAAATAGAAATTTTCATTAAATAAAATGAGAAATACAATTAAAATAACAACAAAAGTGGGTTTCATTGTAATCAATAAAAGTTTTGTTATGAACTTCTCTATTATATAAAGTGTGTCTCTTATCGAAGTCATTAATCGTTAAAATCCATTACAGTATTTATATGTTATGTTATTTGGCATTCAATGCAATATTTTTTTTGCAATTTCTTGTTTAACATGTCTTATGTTTTGAAAGAAAGTTGTGAAAACTGATGCTTTTAGTGAAACCAAAATCAAGAATCAAATGAAATACATATATAATTCAAGAAATCCAAACACAAGTATATATATATATATATATTGTTATACTGTATTTATCATACTTTCAATTAAAATGTAAAACTTTATTATTTTGTATTTCATATAAAATTTTATTTTATCAATTGTTCATTAAAATAATTTGATTTAAGTTATAATGTTTAAGAACTGTTATTATATATTTTTTTATTTATAAAATTTATTATTAACATAAATATTAATTTACGAATTTACATTAATTAAATTTATTATATTATTATATTCAAAACATATAATATAGACAAACATTAAATTTTGTAAAATAAATATCGATTTCTGTTTTTTACATCTAATTATATAAAAAATGAACCCTTAATTTGATTGCCATTAAAGCCAAGAGATAACAACCAAAAAGATATCACTTGTCTTAAAAGTTTTTCATCAAAATAGATGTGAGAGTGAGTGAAATGGTTTGATGAAAGTTGTTGTTGATTAGATACTCCCACTCCTTATATACCAATGTTAGCACAATTAGCTTAAAAACATGTTAAGTCCATCACTGACAATAAGACTGTGATGACTATCGTAAGGATAATAAACTCAATAAATTATGTTAGCTTTAGTCGACACCAAAGTGCAAACACTGACTGACTGACTGACTGACGAACCAAATGATTAAACCAGAAATGACTTCAACACTCACTTAAACTCATAAATAATCGTAAAATGCATTTATTGGCCACTAATGCATGTCTATTGCATTGACCACACATTCATACTGTATATGTCATTAGCTTATGAGAGACACCATTAAAATGCATGTGTGGTCTGTGTGTCATAAAAAATATATATTTAAATTACAACTTTTAACACCAACAAAAAATTTAACATTTAAAATTTAAAATTTATGATTATTGACTTATTTATTAAAGTTTATTGACAATTTTTAAAAAAAATTTAATACTTTATTTATAAATATAAATGTTGTTATTTTTCAAATTATTATATAACTCTTCTTCAAACTTAAAATGGGAATTATTGACATAAAATTCACCAAAAGGTTGTTTACTATTTTTGTTGATAAACTAAATAAATAGTTGAATGGCAACTAAGGATTTGCCTCCGAGTTATTATTACTATAGCTATCAAACTAGTAGTACTCAAATATCAATGAGAAATATTTTTTTATATAAATTTTGCACAAATACAGCATTTTATTATATAATAAATACAAGGATTCAAATCTTTTCTCAGCTAAACATTATGTGTTTTTCTCTCTGATGTTATGTTTGACACAACCTATGAATAAGTAAATGAATAGAAAAAGAGAGAGCTTATCATTCAATACTTTTTTTCTAATATTTATATATAAATATAATGGTTTGGGGAATAGTTTTTTAGCAAAAGTATTAAAATTTAGGTATAAATTAGAATTTAATGTCTTTATAAGAGACAGATTTTGTTACAACAAAATATATAGAAACTGTTAAATTATATAAACAGAATATACAGTTTATATACAGTATATAAATACAATATATATGTGATATTTATATATCATATAACATATTGTACAAACTAATAAGATTCTGTTATATTATTTTTTTAAAAAAAAGTTTCACTAATTCCTAATACCTAAGCATCAGTATTTGCTAATATTTTTTGAGCAAAAATAAAAATATACAGTATATACTGTATATATATATATATATATATATATATATATATAGTAGTAAACTATAATACTTTAGCACATTTCTTGTGATGACAAATGACTGATTGCATCTATAAGTGTTTCCTTTCGTTTGATTTTTATATACTTATTTCAAATTCATTCATAGCCTCAATACTTTAAATTTTATTGTAAAAGTGCCAATAGATAGATATCATAGATAAACTAGTCATCACTTTCTGAAGTTAATACTGCAATAAAATAATATTTATGTTGAATATATATTTATATATATAAAGAATACGGGTATTTATACTATGAAATGAGAAATCAAATATACGTTTAAATAAAAAATTAGAAAAATAAAACTTAATGGCATTTGTATTAATCTGTATATACAATACAATGAAAATAAATATATACAGTATTTATTGCAACCAAAACACTGCGGGCGCTAACCATTGACTGTACGGTTTGGTAGTGATTGTAATGTACACATGCATTACACCGATTGGCCCACATTTTGTGTAAACAATCCAAACAATTTTTTTGCCTTTAAACTCCCGGTACTCTTGATATAGATAAACTAACCGACACTATGGGGACATATAGTCACTAAGATATTCATTTATTTAAGAGCAATTGAAAATACACTAACGACAATATACAGTCCAATCAGTGATGCCAGTGCTTAAACCACTAATTTTGACAAACATTAAGTTTATACTATACTTACATCAACTCAAAGATAGGGAGTGAACACATCCCTATGGGACACAACACATACACATATAAACTTCAATTGAATTTCTTCAATATATCAAACTAACTCTAAGACTAAATAAAACATTACAATTATTTTTTTCTAGAGGTCTATAACTCTTATATTTGATAAAATATATTACATAAAATAAATATGTTGTTCTTATAACTTGAATAAAATTGATTTTATTAATTTTTAGTTATTATTAATTAAATAAAATAATTATACTGTATAATTAAACCAATATTTAAATATTTTTTAATTAATTCATTTTTGCAAAACTTATAATATTTTATATTTTAGTATTTTGTTAAGATATTATATTATGAGATATATGTATGGTATAAAATATATAATATATACAGTATAGTATTATGTATTATAGTAAATTGTTTTATTATGTTTGTCACTCTCTCATCCTCTCTCTCTCTCTCTCTCTCTCTCTCTCTCTCTCTCTCTCTCTCTCTCTCTCTTCTCTCGACCCCTCAATTGTTGTCTTAGTGGTTGACATTATTAAATTATAAGATTTATGACTAAATCAATCAAAGAATTTAATAAAACAATACAAAAGAAACAACAATTCATTTATTATTGATAATATTATAACAAATAATAAAATACAAATTTCCATAAAATATATAATTGATTATTGTTTTGTTTTTACTAAAGTAAAAGTAGATTATTCAGTATTTTTGATTATTTAGACTTTTTAAATTTGTAACACTAATAAAAAAATGATAATAATCAGTTATTTTCAATAATATATGATTTCGAGATTTTGACATTTATTAAATCGTTATAAATAAAACAATATACTGTATATTATAATTATCCATAAAAAAAATCTTAATATTATTATTAAATTTATTATAATCTTATAACACTAATATTAAATTTAATAAGTTTGACTGATTACTTACAATTTAGTTTTATTTTAATATATTTTTTAAATAAATAAAATGATATCTAAATTATATAATGCAATGAATATACTGTAAGAGCGCAGCACTTGTCAGTTGATTACCGACAGTGACTGCGATTCTTTGGGAACCGATTGTTGTGCGCCTGTATTGTAGTCATATATTTGTCGGTATTATACTATGGTTTTTTGGGGGAGTCATCAATAAAGTCATTGATTGTGGCAATAAAGCGCTCAATACAATAGTTATGTGAAATTCTTGATGAAACTGAACGCACCATAAATACAGTTATATGTATACCAATTATATCGTATATATTACTTAAAACTATAAATCTTTTAAATTACTTATATTTACTCCTTTTTCACATAATTTTCATTTTCAAAGTGTCTATTGTTTGTGCAAAAAAACTGTTGTTCATTACATACAAACTAATTCTTTCATTGAAACTACAAATTAGTTGCCAATCAAAATATATTTCAATGAATTGCCACTTAATTCTGTGATTTTTATTTCCATTTATATTGAGTGATAAATTCTGGTGTTATATGAATATAATTTACAAGAATTTAGATAAATGTAAACACAATTTGTTTTGAAAGATATATCTGTTTTATGTTAAATTCACACACATTTCCAGTGTTTCTACAAAATATATGTTTTCTTTTGAGTTTTACTAAATCTATGCCAAATAATTTACTCACTTAAACATACAACTCTTTTACTGATAAAATCAATTATTTATTAATACATTCGCTTAAATTATACATAAATCAAATGTTTGTGTTAAATGTTGAATATAAATGAATTCATTCATTACATATATTATTAGTACGAATACTCCATTTTTTTGTATGTATTTAATATTTAAATGAAATTTCTTATCTAAAAATTGCTAGTTTTCATGGATTTGCATAAAAATTTAGCGCCTAATATATGTTTATTAATAAATTGAATTAATTCATATTTTTTTCATTAACAGATTTGTTATGCGATACACACACACATAACTTGATAGACAAGTGTGTCATTTGTGGTTAAAATACTAACTTATATATAACTGTCTGACACGAAAAACTTATGAAAATACTGTGAAAAACATGTGACCACACAATCAACTTATAGACAATACAATTATTATAACAAAAGAAGACCAGACAGTCTACCAAAAAGACCGCTTAAGACATCGTAAATGTATTTAAACACACTTTTTATCGACGATTTATAATCATAGGCATTGGCTGCCAAAAAAAAAGTTGTGATATATTTACACTATAAATGTGTTTATTATTACATAAGTGTTGAATAGAGAAAAAATATTATATAAGCCGAAAGTGGAATCGATATAAAAAACAGTTTGAATTGAACTGTAAGTGAATTGTGAAAAGAAAAGACAAGAATCAACACATTTTGTGTAATAATGTTTACTAAGACAAGAATGACGACTGAAAGGGCAGTCCATGTCATACAACAGTCCTGTGTTTACATAGTGTTGTTGGTCTCGATTTGTTGGCTAAACTCTGCTGAAGGTAAGTCTGTGTGTGTTTTACCCACAAATATCTACTGTTAGTAAACAGAGACATAAAAATCGATCATTAAATTAGAAACCTTTACCGACTTTTATGTTGTTATACGGTATATAACAGTGCTTTCTATCCGTAGTTAAGTTACAAACATAACAAACTGTTAGACCCCTTAAAAATAGCTCGAATAGCATTCCAATTGCAATCTACCCGTCCATAGCTTCCACTACTATAGTAGTAGTAAGTACTGTATTGCCAACAATTGTCTGTATGTTTGCTTACAGAGCCTTACTATTTGCAATGTGAGTGCAATTTAAATTGCAATTCACATATAATATGTATGATATGTATGTATTGTATGTAACGTATAATAACATTATTTACTATTCAGTGAATTGATTTGTGAGACATTCCTTGAAATTAAAATGTTATGAACAGAGAGTTTGATAGCAAAAACAGTACCGAAAAAGTATTTCAATTAATTTCTTTTCATTACAACTATTAATACTATTATTATTAAAATTATTATTATTATTATGAGTTTTTGCGATTCACGTGTCTATTCATAATAATTCAAATTTCTTTTTGATGGCATATACAACATGAAAGTTATCATTTTGTATGAGTTGTATAAGGAATGGCATTTGTAATTGAAATCATTGACTCGGATCACTATTTTTTCTTTTATTTCAGTTATTAATATATTTAATTTTGAGGATTAGCTTCACATATAAAACAATATAAAAATTTTTATTTGAAATAAAAACAATAAAAAATATTACTAATAATCATAAGAATAAGTATAGCGTTGTTAATATCATTCAATGCGAGAAAAAAAAGATTAAAATAAAAGAAAGAAATATATATTATTATTATTTTATGTTTTACTGTTATATTATTCTCTGGAGTAAAAATATAAGGAAAAATTATTTGAGAAATACATAGAAATATAAAGAAAATTTTATTTCATTTTCTCTTTCATTGAACGCAAGTTTACACAAGAATTAGAGACTAAATATCTATAAAAATTGTATGACTGGTTAGGTTAGTCAACAATTTAGATGATATTGGCACCGGTATATGTGTTGTTATAAAGAGACTGATTTGGCCCACAGGCATATACATAAAGAAACTAATGTCTTATTAGGCATTATGTGTTTATATAACTAATGCTTGTTATAATAATAATAATAGTAGTACTAGTAGTAGATATAATATAAATAGTTTGCTATATTACATGAATTATTTCGTTGTTTTACAGTTGAATATCAATGCAAAAATATCCATTTATTTATTATTTATATATTTAGAATATTATTAAAGACAGTATAAATTCTTAATAATTAAAATATAAGTTTTATTAAAATTTTTATATTATTAATTAAATAGTTTACTTATAATTTAGAAATAAAGTTTTGCATAAAATATAATTATAAATCTGATTTTTAAAAATAAATAAATAAAATTGTACCAAATGTTTGATAACAATGTACATAATTTATAGTAATTTATGATAATTTAATTATGTAAACAAAAGATACCAATTTTTTATTGTATTTTTGTTTATTATTGTCATAAAATTATTTTTATTACTATTATTTGCTAACTCTCACAACGATATTAACATTTATAAGTCTAATATTATATAGTAATTACTAAGACATTATTGATATAACAATTTAACTTAACTCAATGATGATAAATACTAATTGTAAAAAATTTAATTACTTCAGAAATAATTTTTAAAAAATTTAATTCTAATAATTTTAATGTTGTGACTTTAAACATATGACTTTTACTTTAAAAAAAATTATAATAGACTTTAGCTAATGATTACAAAGAATAATAATAAAATAATAATAATAATATTTGTCTCATATTTTCTCAATGTTTTGATTGCAAATATTTGATGCATTTCTTGTGTTCCCATTTGTTAGTATACATTGTGTGGCAAATGTTATAATAAGATAATATGCTTTTGGCTATCGATACTTATCGCACACAACTATCCTCTCCCTTAGTAGCTAACCGTTCATTGAAATGACTGACTGACATCAAAATGATTGAATCATATAATAATAAGATTATATCATTAGTAATGTTAGAAAAACAACACATATTTTCATTGTATATATGAATTCAATTGATCCCCTTTTATACAATGTTTGTACAAATTATTTGAATATACATTTATATAAACAACAAAAGGCTTTATGTAAATATGAGATATGTTTTAATTGAATGCATATTAATCTAATCACAAACGCTTGTTATAACCATTTCGTGATAATATATATATATATATATATATATACAGTATTTACAATATAATTTTAATATATACAGTACTACTGTATAAATTGTACAATTATTCTGATAGTGGAGTAATGTTTAGTATTGTTGAAACAACTAAATCAAAAGTTATAATATTTTATGTTTTACACGTTTCATACAAAACAGCAATAATTGTTGATATTTATATTGTATCAACGATAATGTATTATTAAAATTTTAAGATATTATTTTCACTATTATACTGCAATTAAGTTATACTATGAAAATATTTTTGTTATATCATTGAGTCAGTGAATAAACTATTATATAATATGAATCAATGAACATAACTAAACCTAAGTGTAAATATGTTGAACACATTGATGATAATGTCATTCAATATTTTTTAAAGATTATTATTTACAGAACGAATCTTCAAAAGACATTTTTATTGTAAAATCAAATGTAAAAAGTGATGACATTTCACACTTAAATCATAACTACTAAACATTACATATCACAGCATACATGAGCTCAAGTACAGAGTCATTGAAATTGAAAACCATGTATCGGTTGGTTTGCCATTGCATTCATTGCCTATTTATGCGATACATACATGACATCAGTTTTGTTGTCGCTCTGGGCTTTCATAACATATCTGGTCTGCAAATCATAAAATAGGCTTTTCTTTAGATTAATATCTTTCATAAGTTATGGTCGTAAACATTGTTAACATTAAATATTATAATATTTAATCCCAATTATTTTTGGGCGTTTAAATTTTATACATTATTATAAAATTGCAATGTATTTATAATTTAGTGTGATTTTTAAACATTGACTGTATTTATTTTTTTATATACAAATTTAGCAATTATACAATTTAGCAAATATAGTAAATAGCAATAAATGCAAATATATTTAATTTGATTTTTTATTATTGAAAGCTTGCTATCATTTGAAATGTTTATTGATTTGAACAAAACTAACTTCAAAAACTAAAACAAGACCTGACTTTTTGATAACAACAACAAAAACACAATCAATAATTATTGTGTGAATAAATATACATTTTATACATTTATATTATTAAACAAATAAACAAAAATTTTCTGTTTGATTAAACCCACAAAAACTGGTGAATAAATTTTCATTTTTTATTTACTGATAATAAAATCAATGAAAAGAGTGTTTTATTGAAATTTCAATGAACTCATAAATACACTTATTATTCATTCACAACAATATAACAATATATATATATATAGTATATATCTATTGTAGTATTCATATAATTTAAAGTTTTATTTATGTGCAGTAATAGTATAAATTTATGTGAGATAACTGTTACATAAAAAATTACTGAAATATACTATACTTACATGTATTTTTAAAATATATTTTTTCATTATATTTAATTTCTTATTATATTAATTGGTTTTTTGTTTGATATTTACCGCTTGTTTTTTCAAGCAGTCATTATTTGACAGCATCTGTAATAAAGATAATAAAAGGAATTTTTAATTTTAACACTTATTTAGATCATTATAATGTATTTTTTATCGAAATTTTAAATGAAGACTAAATTTATATAATTTACTAAATAATATAGTGATGTATATCACGATTTCGGTTTTCATTACTGATTCAAACAAGTGTTGAAAAATAAGATATACAATTTAAACAATTGTTTATAACTTACAGTATATAACTATAAGGTATAAAACATATAATAACTTATTTTTCATCTTATAATTTATCAAAATATATGTTATGATTGCGTGTTATGAGAATCATATGCTATATTAAAAAGCATGAAATTCACAAAATAACTCATGAATACAGTGATAAATATTATGCTTTGAATGAATTTATTAGACTTTTCGTGACTGAAAAAGTCATAGTAGTGTCGGTGTTGTTGTTGTTCACAGACCTAAACATACAATTTGTGCTCACATTTAATCATAAATATCAATATATACTAAACCAATAATAATAACTAAACAAACATAACATAAGGAATACTTTGACAAAGGGATGCCAAAGATGCAGATGTAGGCTATAGTTATGTCAACAAATACAATAATAACTCGTGTGTCTCAATGTTATGTGTGTGTGTATGTGTGTGTGTGTGTATGCGTGTGTGTGTATGTGTGTATGTGTGTGTGTGTGTGTGTGTGTGTGTGTGTATGTGTGTGTGTGTGTATGTGTATGTGTGTGTGTGTGTGTGTGTGTGTATGCGTGTGTGTGTGTGTTTGTGTGTGTGTGTGTGTGTGTGTATGTGTGTGTGTGTGTGTATGTGTGTGTATGTGTGTGTGTGTGTATGCGTGTGTGTGTGTATTTGTGTGTATGTGTGTATGTGTGTATGTGTGTATGTGTGTATGTGTGTATGTGTGTATGTGTGTATGTGTGTATGTGTGTATGTGTGTATGTGTGTATGTGTGTGTGTGTGTGTGTGTGTATGTGTGTGTGTGTGTGTGTGTGTGTGTGTGTGTGTGTGTGTGTGTGTGTGTGTGTGTGTGTGTGTGTGTGTGTGTGTGTGTGTGTGTGTGTGTGTGTGTGTGTGTGTGTGTGAATGAACGAGTGAATGAGTGAGGAGAGAGAGAAAGAGAGAATTTAATGTTTGTTTAAAAAACTAAATTTAAACCCATGTTTAAACAATAGTGTTATATCATTAAATATCCAAAGGCTGTATAAATTTGATTACATTTCAAATTTATCCGATATGTAGT